TCTCTTGATATTATTAGTAGAGGTGGACATTTTCCTGTACAATTACAATTTTATCAAATATTTATTTTTTAAATGAGAATTTATTGACTCGTTCATTTCATGGCATACTATTTATATTTTTCAGAAATGGTTATCCAGACCCGGATTATTTAAAACGTTTACGACAACAACTCGCCTCAAAGGGAATTAAATGAGATAAAGCCGACTACTTATTGGAGATCATGAACTACTTATTTAAAACTACTCATAATTTAGATATTTATCGTTACAACGTTAACCGAATCAGTTGATGTATTGACATTTCGATTTAAATGTCTGGTCATTAAGTAATCCTAGTCGTTTACTGTTCACAGTTCTGATTCAATTTCCTGCATTCGGAGATACAAATAGAATTACGTATGTTCGGAATTACTGTGGGGCGTAGTCATTCGGTATAAGGACGAATTCATACGAATTAATTATTTCTCGCAAATCGTACCATATATTTGTCATAACTCTACAATCGAAGCTATATGAAGGACGCTAATATACAATTTTAATGGTTTTGACATACTACACAAAATATATGACTGACAACTCTTGGATTACGGTTGTTAACAATAATCACATTACAATTCAATACGTAATATTTGACTTATATTTAGCAAATCTGCTGGTAGTATTTATTGTTTGTAATTGCCACATGTCTATCACTTTGCCTGCTTTGCATATGGGAATACATTTGAATATTAAAAGCTAGCCTCAAGGAATTCATGGATATTTTATCGTGAGTCCAAATTGGCGACATGTACAAAAAAATACCCTTCGAGCCAAAGTTCTAATTTTCAAGATTGTGGGAACAGAAATCCGGTGGTGTCAGAAAATAATAATTAAGAATCACAACTTCACAACTTACAATCGGAAATTGTATTGTTGAGTGAAGATCACATAATACTTATATTCACAGAAAAAATCGTTCGACCTCAATTCTTACAAGCAACATTATCACAACATAACATATTTTACTTTTGGAATAAAAAATATTATGCATGATATAAGGAAATGTTCAGAAAAGTGTTTTTCTTTGAAGGACACGTAAAAATTACATCATTCATATATGTGAATTCATATTTATTGTTGGATACACATAATACACATTAGTAACTTCCATGGGCAGAAATCTGGTTTAATTGTTTAAAGTACCTATATCAATCAGTATGACGATACATACTGTATATATCACATTAAATCAAATCATCATGTCGCAAACACTGACTTGATTCTAGAAAAACTTGAAAATAAAAACACCCACGATTCCACCCACAACGCTGGCACCGACTGCATTGAAAGCACAGCGAGCAAACAGTGCAACCGTTTGTTTTGCTATTCGGTGATCAATAATGGAAAGGAGGTGTCGTATAGCAGCTTCGACATCTTGGGAACCCATATTCTGATTTTGTACAGTGGTGCACGCATCCCGCAGATCATCGTAACGGACGTAAGTTGGTAGAGTATTCTGAAA